TGACAATATATTAGCATTTAGAGTCCTTCAGTGCTAGTGAAATTGTTATGTTCAATTCCAGATCATTGTTCTTTCCCTTTATAGGATATTAAACTCTACTGCACTACAGTTATTAGGGGGGTGGATATTTACAAATAATCCCACAAAAGCAGATAACATAAAGTCAGAAGAAAGGTGGTGTATTTTATCAGCCTGTATGGAAAGAGTTCGATAAGAAAAAGCAAAGTATAAAAATGTAGAGGGTTAATGGGTAACACCTAGAAATGTAATTTACAGTGCTGTGATTAGGAAAAGAGAAAAAAAAGCCAATGCACAGTGTGTTCTAATCTTGCAGGGGAGGAGAAATTAATAATGGGGAAAACACAGTGGATTTCTCTGAGAACTTTGGCAGCCCCTTATGTTTTGACATTGACCCAAGAACTTTTAGAATCAGCAGGTAGAAGTTATAGCCTCAACATTTAGGAGCTGTTTTGTTTTGTTTTATACTGGGGATTGAATCTAGGGTCATGAACATGCTAGACAAATGCTCTACCACTGAGCCATATCCCTGGTCCATTCATTCATTTTTTTTCTATCTGTCTATCTATCTATTTAGAAACAGGGTCATTAAGTCATGTAGGCTCACCTCAAACTTGTGATGGACCTGTCTCGACCTCCCTAGTCACTGGGATTACAAGTGTAGTATAATCCTGGCAGGGCTGCGTTTTAATATCTTTGCTGACCCTCTGTCCCAGCTGTGACACACTCCAATTCCTCTTTCCTTGCCACACACAGCCGGCTTCCTTTCTCTGGCTCCCTCACTTGTTGACACAAAGGAAGAGCCAGTGTGAAGACAGTGCTGTCAGAGCAGAGCTGCCCAGGAGCCAGTCTGGATCCACTCAGGACGGCAGACAGGGTCCTCTGAGCCACTGGACTAAGAGCTTGAGCTGTTCCTTTCACTTCTCATGCAGAAAGCAAGAGGGACTTGCTCGTGCTATTAATGCTCTTCACTGGTCTTATTTTTATTACAGAGATTGCTAATAACAAAAGGATGAAAAGCTGGTAAAAAAAAGTATGTCTGAATACACTAGGATTTGTGTGTGTGTGCATACACGTGTGTGTGTGCATACACACGTGTGCATGTGTGTGTGTGTGTGTGTAGTTAGGCAGCTTGGATCTGCAGGTGTACAACATTGCCATTTCATCTACACTTAATTCACATCTTTATAAATTGTTCTGTTGATCAAGTGAAGTCAACAAAACAACAGTAGTTAAAGATTACAGAAACTAAGAGTCAGTTAGGAAGTGTCTACGAAGCCATTCATAGGCAGTTCCTGGTGAGGTCTGGTTATGACTACTTGTTCCTGTGTGAGTGGATGCATTTGTTAGTTTATTCTGCTGTGGCAAAACCCGGCAAAGTGTGAAGCTGACACTACGCAGACTCAGAAGACTTTGAAATGTGGCATTGCTATTGTTGCTATTCACCTCTGTCACCTTCGGCAGGGCAACTACTGTGTCTCAGGTATTTTCTCCACCTGTAAAATGGAGATAAGAAAATCTTTTCTGCCTTCCACATCCATTTTTGTGAGATGCAAATACAATAAAACATGAGAAACTTTTATAAAGTGCAATGTGCTCTCCACAACTCCCCCCCACCCCTTTTGTTTGTTTTTGAGACAGGGTCTCATTAGGTAGTTCAGGCTGATCTTGAACTCACTATGTAGCCCAGGCTGGCCTTGAACTCACAGCAATGATGCTTTTGCCTCAGTCTCCAGAGTCCTGGGATTATAGGCATGTTTCACTATAACCATTTTCTCCCTTTTCTTTTCTTTTAAAAATAATTTTCTATATTTGGGTGTGTTTCTAGCTGCAAAGCATATTTGTTCATTAAACTCACAGACTTTTTAAAAAAGACTTATCTAGTAATTTTACCTCTTCACCCATTTACTTAAGTAACAGAGTTCAATTCTACCAGCAAAATTAGCATGATATTTTGTTGCTGTTTTGCTGGCATTGCTGAAACTTTTGTAGATATGTTGATTAGTTGAGAAACAGTAGGAGAAAAGAGTGAGAGAAGAAAGAATTTTGAAAAGTTAATGAAGTTGATGGCTAGGACCCAACATGATAATTAGTCCCTGGAAAATAGAAGCTTTACTAAAAATTAGTAAGACTATTATCAGTAGGTTCATTCAAGTCTTGATAGTTTATAATCATAATACAGAACTGTAAAGAATACTTATAATAATTTTAATGTTTTCAAATGTATTTACTTATGGTAGGACAATATGTAATTTAAAACAATGGTGTTTTCAGGGATTTTTATGGTATGTTTCAGGAAACATGAAATTGTGCTATTAGGAAGCAACTTATACTATCTTGATGTCTTACTTGAATTTATCACTAAGGAAAATATGACCAGAGAGGCTCTATTTTATCACAACTTGTGTTTGGCACCACAAAATAATTGAATCACCCAGCAAAGAAGAAAAGTGAATCCCAGAAAAATATTTACTTTGTAGGTCTGTTGCAGCTTTCCTTCAGATTCCAACAGGTGCCATGGAGCCCCTGTGCTGTCTAATTCCAGAGTCCTATTTTTAAAGGGACAATAAAGAGAGACAGCATACACAAACAATCCTGTAAAGAAAAGAACTATAAACAGCCGCATAATATAAATCTAAGTAAATAACAAGATTGGAGTGTCAAAAATCTGAATCTTTCTCTTAAGACCTTGTGGTTTGGGAAACTAACAAAGTGTGTTTGTGTGTGTGGGTTTTGTCAGCATGTACATTTTCACAAGCTTTACATAAAACAAATACTGTGTAAGGAAGATAGCATTGTAGGTCCTAAGGAAAAAATAGAGAATTAAAAAAAAAATGATGCTGGAAATACAGATATTTAGTTGATTAGATTTCAAACGCATTTTGTGGATGAGTATGACCTCTGGTGTTAATCTAGGGAAATTCCAGCACTTACAGTCCTTCGGGGAGGAAAGAAAAGCAAACGTAATTTTCTACAAGCTTTCACTTTAAGCTGCTGACCCTTGTTTTCGTGCCTTTCATCTCCTTCCTCCTTCCTTCTTCACTCTACAGTATGAATGTGCTATGTATAATCCACTCTCTATGTGAGAGAATATTGTTTTTGTTGCTGACTGCTTAACTTTACGTGCTATATGTACCTCTACAATCCTACATAGGAAAACACCCAGTTATGATATATGTATTTTAAAAGTCTACTTATTAGCTAAAAATGTTAATTTTATTAAAGAGAAATCATGAAAATAAGAACTCCTTAAACGTGCTCTGTGATCCAATATCCAAAGTTATGATGAAACATAATGTTTTGGAGTTTATGTATGGTTTCTCATCATCATGCTAATAGAGGTTTATCATATTCTCAGAACAGAGACATTTACTAGCAAGATGTTTAGAACGTGTGATCAGTTGATTACTTAATGAAAAGGCAATACATGTCTGTTTGACTTGCTGTCTAGACACAGTGTCACATTATTATTTTAATGAGACTTCAAAATCTTGGCTAGGCTGAAGTAATGTTAATCTGGGTTCTGATATTCTGACAATCCCCAATGTTGTGGAATAAATTTCCACTTTCTTCTGTAAATTGTGCATCCTATCCTCCCCAGAAGCATCTTTAAAAGAGGTGAGAATTCTGTGCGATGTTACCTTCAATCTCATCGAGCACTCCGTTTCCACATGATTAGTGATATATTTAATCCCATACTTAAGATATAAAGATATATAAATGGTGATTGAAAAATATGGCAAATAAATTTTTTAAAAACTACAGTAAAAGGCACATTGCCAAATATGATGGGACAAGTGTGTTGGTACAAAGGGAAATATTTTAACTACATATTTTGAGGCTGATTAATAACAATTGTGTTTTTTACTCTAATAAATTTTATTTAAACCTTCAACGTATTTTTGGGAACACCTCATTGATCAAAAGTTTATGGTAATTTCCATCAAATGAAAATATTACGGTGTGTCCTTATACCTTACTCACTGTGCAGCTTCTGGCTCTTCCTCAAAGTCAAAATGTCACCATTTGTGCAATATCAACTCAACTGACCCCCAAATTCAGGGAGTCATTATTCTAAACGTTTTATTAATTTCTCACAGAACAAAAATCATAATAGATTATAAGAATGTCTCTGATTTTCACCCACTGAAATTCTATTCTTGATCAAGGCCATTAAGAAATTCAAGTCCTGAAAGTATTGATCATATCAAGGGGGGCGGTGTAAAAGCAACCCTTTCCCTTTTTTCTTTGCAATCTATTTACTGGCATATACAAAACTTTAAATTGTTTAACACACATTTAAATATCCTCAAATGAATTATTCACTCCATGGCATTGGAACCCCCCCCACACACACTTACAAGCAGATACTAGGTAAACAACTTTAGGGCAGCTGCCGAGTAGAATATCAAGAAATTGGATCCAGTTAAGAATTCCAATTACCTAATGAGGGTGATCTGCTTTCACTCTAATTTCTTGGTCTAATTCATTATAATAATCCCTATCATAAAAATCTTGCTTTCAGATCAATTTAAAATGCAAACAAATATTCAGCTGGCCAGTTTCTTTCATCTTAGTTCTTTTTTGAGGGAGATGAGAATTTCAATGAATAATAAGAATGAAGACTTAAGATGGAGCAGTAACAAAGAGCTTGAAAAGGATCTCCAATTGCTTTGTTAGTGTATGCAAACACAGAACAAACGTATCACGGCGAATTTCAAACAAGTGCAATTTTTATTGGTTTATTAAGAGCAAATAATCATTATACCTAAATCCAGCAAAACTCCCGCACAGTCCCTGGGCAGCGATTATTCATCCGGACTTATCATTACAGTACCAATCATTTCTCAGCCAGGCCGTGACTGTGGGTGTGAATCAACCAGAGACAGGCCCCTCTCCCACACGCTGCTGCAGTCAGGGCTCGGCGAGCCGCGGGGGTTTACGCTTTCCTGACCCGCCTCTGCTTTGTGTCTGTGCTGCAGGTGAGGAAGAGGACACGAAGAGCTGGAGGCCAAGCAGCCCCCAGACCCTCGACCCAGCCGCCCTGCCCTGCCGAAGCAGCCTGCGGAACAACCCGCTCGGGCCGCTGGGGGGCCTGAGAGCCGCAGCCCCGGACCTGGCGGCCAGGGCGCCAGCCCTTCATGTTCCGAAGAGGGCGCAGATGTGAGCGGGCGGGAGCGGGGAAAGCCCTCCGCCCCCGCCAGGGGGACCCGGGAAGCCCGCGCCAGCTCCGCCCGCCCGCGGACTGCGGGGATCCCCTCCGGCCCCGCCCCGCTCCCCCGGCCCCTGCCCAGTTAACCCTGTCCGCGCCGCGCCTCCGCGCAGTGGGCGGGAGCGCGGCCAGCTGTCCAGACGCGAGGACTGGGAGCTAAGTGCTGCGATCTCCGCACGGGTTGGGCTGATCCTCGGGGGCTGAGGTGGCGCCCGCTTTTCTGGGTTTCACCTCCACGCCGCTGCGCTGGCATCGCCTGTCGCCAAACTTTTCTCCCCAAAGCCGGCGCCCCCGCGGTTGCTTGGCGGGCAGCCTGCAGCCCACTCTGGGCGGGAAGATTGTGGCGAGAGCTGGGCGTGGTGGAGAGGCTGCCGCTCAGCAGCCCCGGGGAGTCAGGGAGGAGCGGCCGGGTTTCCACAGCCCCGGGCCGGGTGGCCCTGCCTGCTGAAGGGCCGGAGTGGTGAGTCCGCGCAGGCGGGGGACGGCGCGAGAGAAGGCGCCGCTCTCTCAGCGCCGCCGCTCTCTCAGCCCCGCAGCCCGGCTGCACCGCGTGGGGGCTCGGAGTTCCTAGCCCTGCTGGGGGCGCCCCCCCCAGTCCGTCCCCGGGGTTCCACTCCGCAGACTCCCCTCCCTGGTGCCCTCACACGCGCTCCCCTAGCCCGAGCGCGCTGCAAACTCCGTCTCGGTCCCCGCAGGTGATGTCATGCCCATTGTTTTGGTGCGCCCAGCCAATCGGACTCGCCGCCTCGATTCTACCGGAGCCGGCATGGGCCCTTCCTCGCACCAGCAGCCGGAGTCCCCGCTCCCGACCATAACGCATTGCGCAGGGTGCACCACCGCCTGGTCTCCCTGCAGCTTTAACAGCTCTGACATGGAAACCCCATTGCAGTTCCAGCACGGCTTCTTCCCAGAGCAGCTGCCGCCGCCGCGCTCCTCACACCTGCATTGCCAGCAGCAGCAGCAGCAGCAGCAGAGCCAGGACAAGCCGTGCCCGCCCTTCGCGCCCCTCCCGCACCCGCACCACCACCCGCACCTCGCGCACCCGCCGCCCGGCAGCAGCGGCAGCAGCCCATGCCTCCGGTGCAACAGCTGCGCCTCCTCCGGGGCCCTGGCGGCGGGGGCGGGGGCGGGGGATAACCTGTCCCTGCTGCTCCGCACCTCCTCGCCCGGCGGCGCCTTCCGGACCCGCACCTCCTCTCCTCTGTCGGGCTCGTCGTGCTGCTGCTGCTGCTCCTCGCGCCGGGGCAGCCAGCTCAATGTGAGCGAGCTGACGCCGTCCAGCCATGCCAGTGCGCTCCGGCAGCAGCCCGCGCAGCAGCCCGCGTCCGCCTCCCAGTACCACCAGTGCCACAGCCTGCAGCCCGCCGCCAGCCCCACGGGCAGCCTCGGCAGCCTGGGCTCCGGGCCGCCGCTCTCGCACCACCATCACCACCACCCCGCGCACCCGGCGCACCACCAGCCTCACCAGTCCCAGGCGCGGCGCGAGAGCAACCCTTTCACCGAAATAGCCATGAGCAGCTGCAGGTACAACGGGGGCGTCATGCGGCCGCTCAGTAACTTGAGCGCGTCCCGCCGGAACCTGCACGACATGGACTCGGAGGCGCAGCCCCTGCAGCCCCCCGCGCCCGTCGGAGGTGACGCGTCCTCCCCGTCCGCAGCCGTCGGGGCCGCCGCCTCGTCCTCAGCCCCGGAGATCGTGGTGTCGAAGCCCGAGCACAACAACTCCAACAACCTGGCGCTCTACGGAGCGGGCGGCGGAGGCAGCACCGGAGGTGGCGGCGGCGGCGGCAGTGGGCACGGCAGCAGTAGTGGCACCAAATCCAGCAAAAAGAAGAACCAGAACATTGGCTACAAGCTGGGCCACCGGCGTGCCCTGTTTGAGAAGCGCAAGCGGCTCAGCGACTATGCGCTCATCTTCGGCATGTTCGGCATCGTGGTCATGGTCATCGAGACCGAGCTGTCGTGGGGCGCCTATGACAAGGTATGGCTTGTCCCCTTGCCCACCCTCCCGGCGTGCGGCGCCAGGTGTTTGGGATGGGCACTGGCGGGAACCTTCCCCGGGACTATCGGAGCGCCAGCCGGCACAAGGAGCGCGGCGAGGACGCCAAGCCCTGGTTGGCTGGGCGTCTCGGAGAGGAGACCTTTCCGCGTGCTGCCTAAGTTCTCCAGGCGCTGAAGTGCCCGGCGCGTTCAGGCACATTTAACAAGTTTGGCGATTGTGGTGAAAGCGTGCGTATTCCTCCCCTGGTGCTCGTATTTAGGAGGCCAGGTGCCTTTAGCTTGCAGCTCTTCAGGTCAGGAGGAACTTTCTCCCGGGCTTAGCGGACCAGGTTCTGCGAATCAGCCCTAGATGATGCCGCCTGAGTCCAAACCTTGCCGCTAAGGGAGCCCACCGGGTTGTGCGTGCTCGTCGTGCTTGGTTTTGAGCCGTCCCCTCCCCGGGTTCAGGACCCCTGGAGTGGGTTCAAGTCCACTAGCAGGGCACAGACCCTCGTGACCTGGAAGGTGGTTAGAAGTGGTCTTTTCTTAAAGGTCTTCTCCTGTGTTGCAGGCGTCGCTGTACTCCTTAGCTCTGAAATGCCTTATCAGTCTCTCCACGATCATCCTGCTTGGTCTGATCATCGTGTACCACGCCAGGGAAATACAGGTAATTTAGGCTCTGCTTTTTATCGGTGACCCAACGCCAAGCAGTCAGCCTGGGGGGAAAGCAAAACAGCAGGGGCTTTCCCAATCCCTCACATCCTGGCCTGAGGCGATGGAAGACACACACTCCATTCCCATGTTAGCGTATGACCTGCTCTTTGAAGAGGTTAAAAAAAAATAAGGCAGTGCAGCAGGCTTATACAGTAGTTTCTGGGATGTACTTGTTTAATTATTAAGATTTTTCCTTTTTATCTTTACGTAGATCCACTTCTTTGCATCAGTCACGTTTTTCTTAACGCCAGTTATATATTGTCTTTAATCTATACTGTAAATGTGCGTTCTTTAAGACATCTTTTATTAGTAAGTTATTACGGAGGTTTCTGTCCATCTGTATGTCTGCTATAAAGCAGCATAAAGAAGAAAATAGGTTTATTATGTTAATGGCTAACTGATACAAACATTAAAAAGCTCTAATTCTTTCCTATATTTGCTAACATTTCAAAAAGTTTTTAAAGTTTAGTTTACAAATTGTCTATATCTCTTAGCTTAATAGATTCTTAGCTATGCTCACTAAGTCATTTTTTAAAATGTCATTTAAAAGCTCTGGCTACTGCCCTTGCGAGCTGTCTTAATAGGAAGGTGTTGACATTGCTTAAATCCAGCTAGGAGCTCTACTGTTAGATTTGGCTGCTACTGACAATATCAGTAAACAGAAATTTATGGCTCCTTTTGTCATTTGTTTACTTTGCTATAGCCCATACTTAAGGAAACATTAAAGTTGGTAAATTAAATTAGGGATTTTCCTAGTTTTGAATTGTAGCAAATATGTATTTTATGATTTCTTTGAGTCATTGTTAGGTATTTAGTGGGACCATGAAACTCATATTCAGATTGCCTTCGAATTTAAGACATTGTGTAGGAAATGTGATGTAATTTAGTGTTAAATTAATTTTAAATTAGTAATTAGCAAACACACACCAACTTTGAAACAAAACAATTTTAATATTTGCCCAAAATGAAGATGTGCATAACCCCAAGTGAAGGAGAAATTACTTCATTTTGCATTTATATTTTCTAAAACTTTGAAAAGTGTGTTTTGGAGGAATAAAGGTAGAGAATGAGAATTAGAAAAAAATGAGAATGTTTGGGATAAGTAATACAACTGCACTGGCAAAACAAGGAAATACATTTAAATTTTTTAATTTAAAAATTTACATAGATCCATCTTTAATTTAGTTCTGGTGATGGTAGCCTTTTGAGATTCTTTCAGATGTTTTAAAGTGATTCTGAAATTTCACTTAACCATTACGAGTGTATCTTTTCACATTTACCTGAAAAGTAGGTAGAAATGAATGGAACAAAACTGGTCCTTTGACTCAGTTTATAGATAGGTGCCTGAAGCCAGAGTGGTGAGTAGCTTGCCAGATCCCTTAGCTGGAAAGGACAGTGCTAGAATAGGCCCCTTCTCTTCTCTTTCAGTCCACAGCCCTTGCTGTGCTTGGCTGCTTTTGCCAAAGCCCCAAAGCATGGACATTGTTTTATATGCAATTTCCCTCTAACTCCAGACATTGTTATATGAATAGGGTTATGGTTCAGGGGTAACTCTAGAATGTTCTTGTGTATTTTTAAGAATCAAGGAACTTTAAACATTTTTTTGCTTGTAGACCAAAGTAGTTTTACTTAACACACCATAGAATCGGAGACCTTGCTGATTTTTATTGAACATCAGCTTTCCTAGTATTGCCTGTTTCTTCTAAAAAGGACACAGCTAAACAAGCATTTATAGGGAGGACATTTGCTAGTATTAACATTAAGAACAAAGTGTCTTCTTGAAAACACTGACTTTTTAAGAATTCTTGGGCAATTCTTTTGAAATAACTCATAAGAGTCTTAAGAGGAGCTGCCAGATGTTAATTATGTGTCCTAAAAAAAGAGATACTAGATTCTTGAAATTTACAGAAGCTAATAAAAATACAGTAAATTATATTTGTATAGATTATTTCATGCCTTAAAATATTCTTATTGTTAATTTGGACTATTCGTCTTACCCAAATGCCTAGATATGTTGGTTAGGTGAGAAAAATGACAAGATTGATTTTGGTGAATAAATACAGTGAATTTCTTTACTCTTGCATGACATAAGCATTACTGAATGTTAGATTTTTTAAAGTTGGGCTTATTGTATATGATATATGGTCTCTGGTAAGCCCATCACACTATTATTTCAAAATAGGGGCTTGGATAATATCATTTTTTTTACTTTGGATGATGCCATTTTTATACTCAGTATTTTGTCTAGAGGGATTTCTCCCTCAGGATGAATCTCTAAACTTTCATCCAAGATTCTTTGAAAAATAAATAAAATGAAAAGTGACCAAATTAATGTGAGGACACTGAGCTGGAAGTCAAGAACCAGAAAAAAACACCAGTGTTCTAATTTGTCCAAAGAAGAGTCTCAGCAAGGCTGCCAGAATACTTCACGCCGAAGCTCAATGAAACAAGTGCACAGGCTCATGTATATTCATGGAAAATGACAAATTGTGCCCTTCTTTTTAAGTTATTGATGTCACCACACTGGGTGTACTTCTTTCATAAAAGCTTTTAAGTGAATGGGCACCTCTCAGTTTACTATAATGAGTTTTAAATATATTGCCCTATTTTTGAGAACCAAATGCACGTCCTTGAATGTAGCATATAATCTAACATGAATGACATGGTATGATGCCTAGGTAGTAGTAGCTAGCTAATGTGAGTTTCTGGTGTATGATATGATTTCCTACTACATTCAGGAAAAGTAAGCAATGTAGCTGCTATTCTGGCTCTCTCTCCACTGGAATTATTTAATGAAGCTCAGAGAGGCCCTGACATTTTCATGGAGAACCTTGGAAAGAAAGTCAGTGTGACCTTTTATAAAATGTTTATATACACACTGACAAAATAAAATGGTTCAGGTAAGTCATGGGCGGAAGCGCTTGGATTAAAATAGTGTGATGGGGGAACTTTGTAAGAACACAACTCCGGAAATTTAAGCTTTGGTGTCATTTTCTTCAGTACCACAGACAGCTCAAAGCACCAGGCTACATAGTTTTTTCATTTTACTAATTACTTTTACTTTCTGTGAACAAAAATCGCTTTTTTTTTTTTTCCTGAGAGAATGCTTATATAATAAAATCAGATTGTGGAGGATTTTTAGCTAAGTAGATATTGAACTTTTTCAAATTGACATTTGGCCTTACTGTCTATATTTATCAATAAACCCAAAAAATGTGAATGAATAAATGAATACATAAACTTTAACAATATCCTGTGTATCGCCACCTCGTAACAAAGGAAGAATACTGTAGGGATTGTTTTTAATGGTTTGGAAAGTGTACTTGATACCAAATAAAGAGCTTCCCTACCTCATACCTCAAGGTCAAATAATAGGAAGCACAGAAATGTGATTTCTGTAACCTTCCTTTTTGTTTCCAACCTGCAGTGGAGTTTGAGATATTACTCTGATAGAATATGTATAAAGCAAAGTTCAAATACTTTCTAAGATCTTCAATATCAGAAAGTTTAAGAGTAGATTTCACTTCAGTTTTTTTAGCTTTATTGTACTATCATTTTTCTTCTGGAAGCAATTTTTAGTGGAAATTGGCAAACACTAAAGATTCCAAACTGGGAAGGAAAGCCCTTGGGCTGTTAGCTGGTTTTTCTGGTTCTTAGGGGACTTGGGAAAATGATAGGTTCTATACTTTAATTAGAAAACATTTTTCTTGTTTTTGTTTTAATGATAATATAACTAAATAATGAATAGTATTAGGGAAATATTCTGATTGTTTTGGTATCTTTTGCAATGGGATAACTAATGCATCTCTTTCAACCTACCATTGGGTGGGTTCTGTGGCTTGTCTTGTGAAGGCCAGGAAAGAATGGTTACTTTCCCATTAGTCCAGGGAGCAAGTAGATGGTTTTAGACCATCCAGAAAGTACTGCATAATTGTTATTCTTTGTTTTGTTTTGTTTTTTTTGGTACTGGGGATCAAACTCTGGTCCTTTTGCTTGCAAGGCAGGTGCCGGAACTACTGAGCTAAATCCCTGGCCCTATAGTTGTTATTCTTATTAACAAAGTAGCAAACACATATGGTGAAAGTAATTCAAACATAAAGAACAGTTTAAAGTAAAAAGGGTAGTCACATTCTATACACTGTTTGTCAGAGGTAACCACTTTAAGTGTTTTATTGTGTATATCTGTCCAGAATTGCAAAAATATTAATTTATATTGGAGGGGTTTTTTTCCTCATCAGGACAGAAAGCTAGCTCATTCTTCTTTTGAAGCTTCTTATTTTCTTTTTTTATGAATTTCCTGTGGATTACTTTGACAGCTGTGTCCTGAGAACTGATAGGAAATTTGGAGTTTTCTAGGATTTTGCTGTTACAAGCATTGCTAAAATGAATATTCTGTGCATTCATTTTAAATCTGAGTATATGTATGATAAATTTCTGGCAGGAAAATTGCTGAATCAATATTAGGGCTGAAAGTGTAGCTTAGTGGTAAAGCACTTGCCTAGCACGCAGGAGATCTGGAGTTGATCGCCAAAATTGAAAAAAAAAGAAAAAATATATGTATGTATGTAATGTACCTGTGTGTATGTAGTATATGTATGTGCCTTCCACCAAGGTAAGAGTTTATATTCTCTGCTTTCCCACACCAGTGTTAATCGTGGTTATAATGAAAAGGAATTTAAAAATTATCTTTGGCTGGATAGAGCTCAAGATTTTATGGGCTTTTTTGTGTCTAATTGATAGTACATAGTAGTGTATAATCTGCTGACAATTGAATAATTATTATAAAGTTGTGGTCAGAAGTAAATACTTGAGCAATTTTTATTATTTTAGTTAAGAAAGTTTGGGGGAAGTTGGGAAAGATGAAGAAAGTTGAAATATTAGAAGAGATGATCTTACATTGGTTTTAGGTCTCTGCTGTACCTCTGAGGTAGATGAAACAGGGATGTAGAGCTT